CATTTTAGGAATGGAACAATAAAAATTGTATTTGAAATTCTAAACATGTTGGATGCTGATTGTACATACCTTGAAATAACTTCACTCCATTGGTGTATATATAATAACCCATATTCATTATTAAGCATAGTACCACAGTGAGGGGATACTTCTGGAGTGAATGTCATGAGGTCGTTATTTTTCAATTGTTGCTGTAATTTCAATGTTACAATTGCCTCAATATCACCAATTTTGAATAGTGTACATTAATAGAAATCAGGCCATATTTAAAATTATTTCATCGCAAACTGCAAATTATGTAAATAAAAAAATGTTTCATACCGTAATTCGCTCTGAAAACTAAATTACTAGTCAATTAGAGCGCCATCGTTTTCGTTAGCATGAAGACAAAGAAAACACTAGCTGGCGCACTATTTGTGCATTAAAGGTCACTTCGGAGGAATTAGATCATATTGTGATCGCTTGGGCGGTCATGGTGGATAGTTGATTTCTTTGTTTGTCCTTTGTGGAGAACAGTATGCCACAAACCTCGGAAAAAACTCCAAATCATACTTGAATTTGCTTCTATGCCACTAGGCTGTTCCAGGTCGATAATGCTGGTATAGTGTTAGCTAAGGTAAAATAAAGCTTTACATTTTATTGTATTACACTGCATTCGAGAAATTGTTTGGAAACGAGGGATAAAACCTGGGACCAGGGTATTAAGACCGGTTACAGTTAGATTCCAGAAAATATTAGAAATTCTCTTGGCCGTCATTAGCCATGAACGATTCAAGCGACCAATTCATATTCCGGACAATAGAAAAGAAAGTAACTAATTTTAAAACGATAGAGGTTAATTCTGGGTTGAATTTAGAATTATTTGAAAGTCGAAAAAAAAATATTTCAAACGAAATGGAAAAATAGTGAATATATGATGACGCATGATGGCAGATAATATATTGGTCGTGTTGGCAGTATTAGAACAAAATGTGTACCACCCTGTCTTCTTATCTCTCATTCAAACAAAGCAAGCACAACACACGTGAGTTAGCCTAATCACAAACCAACGAAACATGAATCAACAA